CTTTGTTTTTTTGAGTTACCAAAGAGGCACAGGTTGAAGCAGCCGAAGGAAACCTGGACTTGACTGACAACAGTTCATTAGGTGAGAAAAACAGTTAAATGCTTTTCAGAAATTGTTGACTTGTGCAATAATAACAGGACAGAGCTTACCCTGATGATGGACAGAAATTATTTAATATGTTGTTATTCAACTTATCATTGTAAAATTTTTCCTGGTCCAGTAGGTCTAAATACTCGCGGCACTCCTCACCTGTTTGTCGTTGTTATTTCCCCGCCCATAAGATACCATTTGAATAGGTGTGACAAGTTCAATGTCTGATATGTGTACTTGATCATAGGCCAGATATCTTTTTGGTGACAAACTAGACGTAGATTTATACTCAACTAAACTATGAACACTCCTTCCTCTGTGCCCCCGCCTAAACGAAAACTAATACTTAGCTAACCTGAGCTAAACTTAAGTAGACAACAGACCTTTCAGATGCACTAAACTAAACTGTACCAAAGCGCATTTAACTCAACTCAGATGAGATACAACTTTTGGTTATAATTTCAGAGGCAGACAAAAGCGAAGTTACCTCAAGTGATAACGGAGTGGATTTCAATGCTTCTTTGTCCATAGCAGGTAAGTAGGACTGACTTGATTTGAAATCAAACACATTCAAAGGAGGAAAATATCTCTAATCGACTCTATATAATTCATTGTTACCCCCTATAAATGTATTATTCTTCGTTGTTTAATGGAAAAGTCCAGAGCACAGCCCAATATGTTTGATTCTTTCCTAATTTTTAGCTTCTTCGGAAGGGAAAGATTCAGCAAACCAAGAAAAAGTGAATTTGGAGGATGAGCTTTTATCAGGTGAGAGAGATAAAACAGTAAATGAATTGCACTTTTCAAGTTTGTGAGTGAAAAAAGACCTATGAAAATAAATTAAACACAAACAACTGAATCATTACGGCTAAAAATTTTCCTTGCTCAAAGTAAAATATTCTTTTTTACCATTCCCAGGTCTATCTGGATTCAAGAAGGAGTCAGACGACGATGATGGCAAATCAACAGGTACAAGTGATTACAGCAAACACAGAGTGCGTGTCAAAAGTTAAGCGTCAATTAAACACCGAGAAACACGTTACAAATCAAGAGAGCTTTTCGAAGATTGAGGAGGGACTGATGCCTTTTTTGGGGGGTTAACATTTAGGATAGAAATAAAGAAGAAATTATTTACAGCTTAAATCGGCACGATAACCATGCGTTTTACATTTTTCACTTTCCAAACCGATTTCCATCTTAGATATTTTTACACCTAGGGGAAAAACCTTGCATATATTAGGAGATGAAGAAAACAAAAGTTGTGAAAAATCATTAGTATTACTACTATTTACATGTATTGGTATTTTAGTTGGTCAACAGGCCTCCTCAACAGCAGCTATTGGAAGCTTGGACTTTGCTGATAAAAGTTTATCAGGTGAGAAAAAAGAAACAAGTATATTTAGATTTCTTTTTATAGTTAACAATAACACGACAACTAGTACTGAAATTTTTTCAACTATCAACTGGGTTGATAGTGAATCAGAGCCATTCCCTCTGACGATTGGCTAATGCTCGAAATGTCAGCTTTAAAACTCTTTACGGTTGCTAATTTACGTTATCAACTCAGTACATCACCCCGTTATACTCTCCCACCGACGCAGCACCACTTTTTTTTTAGAAACTTATCCCCTTTATTATTTTGTCAACTACATGATGAGCAAAGCGAATATTCTTGGTACCTCGACAGTCTAACAGACCAGTTAGCAATCGCATTATCACAAGTTTAGTGTATGAGTTGCCTCCTTGATCAGTTGATGACACAAAAAAGAGTGAAAACCATTTCGTTGCAATTTCATTGACAGACAAGAGTGAAGCTACCTCTGTTGAGAAAAAAGTGGATATGAAGGATGCTCCTTTAGTAGGTAAGTTAAAAAGCACGGAGAAATGAAAGTCCTTAAAAGACTGAGTTAGGTGGAATTTAATATACATAGATTACTTTCTGAAAATCACATGAACGTGCATTTCACCAAGTATGTGGTGTGACTGAGTGGACTGGATTTTGACTAAGAAGTTTTTGAATATTGCGTAACCGAGACGAAGTCGAGGTTTATGAAACGAAGACAAAAAGAACTTCTGTTACTAATTAAAATTAAAGACAAGGAAGATTCAAACAACAGACAAGGTGCAGTTTATTAGACGAATTGCGCCGATTCCCAACTTCAGAGACAGGTAGATAGGAAAGGGCGCGAACAAATGACTGACTTAAGACGAACGAGCAAAGATCAATGGTGATGTCAACTATCAAACTACCGAAAATCAGCGAATGACGAACCACGTGCACAGCTTTGACTAAGTGTCCATGTGTTGTTTCACTGTAAGAGCACGAACTGTACTTCCAGTGATTTTCTGACGGCATAAGAGAAGCACGTGCATACCGTTATGATTGTAACGATATGATACAACAACTAGAACCGAGATTTGTAAACTATAATGAGCAAACCAAATAATCTTGGTTATCAATCGCCCAGCTATGAATCGCACTATCACAAGTTTAGAGCAAGAATTGTACCTGCGAATGATGGACTGGCTTTTTATCCGTAATCACGATATAAAAATATGGAGCATACGAGGAAATTATAGAAGACACAAATACGTGACAAAACTCATAAGTGTGAATTTTTTCCCTGTCATTTCTTTAACAGACAAAATTAGGGCTACTGAGTCTAAAAGAGGCTGCGCCGGTTTGATTAAAATATGCGCAGATCTTTTTTCTGCAAAAGACTGGCAGGCGTTCTTAACCAAGATTTTCGGCACCGAGACGAGGGAAAAACCCATAAAAACTCAAGAGAACATTCAATTACGAACGGAACTAACAAGGAGCAGTTTAAAAGATCGGCCGTGAGAAATGATGATGTCAACAATCACATTTCTGAACATCGTCGACTAAAGAACCACAACATTGGTTGGCACAGTTTCCTTAATTTCAAAGCAATCTCTAATTGTTTACAAGTATTTGTAACGTTAAACAATTTCGTTGTTTTCCTCGCACCTTGTTACTTGATCTTGAATGTTTACGCGGCTAAGAAGACGTTAACAGACAAGTGTTGTGGAAATTCACTTAAGGAAACTTTTTACCAAAAGCATAGTTTTAGTTACTTCAAATGAAACGTTTCAAGACAATAGAGCGTTTTAAAGATTGAAAAGTGACAGAATGAATACTTTTCTGTGGGTTGATATTAAGACAGAAATAACCAAGAGATTCTTTCAGAGCCGTAAGCTACACAGTAACAGAGAAATTTATATTTTTCAGTTTCTAAAGTTATTTTAGTCTTTCATACTGTGATGCTAAGAGGAAAACCCCGATAAAAATATCAGAGGATGGTGGAAATTAATAGAAAAGCTTTTCAAATATTCCAGTTTTTATGACCACTAATATTCTTTGTCTTTTTTAGTTACCAAAGAGGCGCAAGTTGAAGCAGCCGAAGGAAACCAGGACTTGACTGACAAAAGTTCATTAGGTGAGAAAAGCAGTTAAATGCTTTTCAGAAATTGTTCACATGTGCAGAGTTTGCGCCGATGCTGGACAGAAATTATTCAATATGTTGTTATTCAACTTATCATTCTGAAATTTTTCCTGGTCCAGCAGGTCTAAATACTCGCGGCATTCCTCACTTGTTTGTAATTTCCCCGTCCTTAGGATACCACTTCAATGGGTTCCATGTCCAATATAGGCACTTGATCATACGCCAGATATCTTTTTATTTGATGTGTCGCCACAAACTAGACGTAAATTTATACTCAACTGAACTATGAACACTCTTTCCTCTATGTGCCCCCGTGAAAAGGGGGCACATAGGGGGCACACTTTTCAAACCGATTTGGGTCTTAAATATTTTTACACTTAGGGGAAAAGACCTTGCATATATTAGGAGATAAAGAAAACAAAAGTTGTGAAAAGTCACGAGTATTATTACTATTTACATGTATTGGTATTTTAGTTGGTCAACAGGCCTCCTCAACAGCAGTTGTTGGAAGCCTGGACTTTGCTGATAACGGTTTATCGGGTGAGAAAAAGAAACAAGCATCTTTAGATTTCTTTTTAGAATTAACCATAACAAGACAACTAGAACTGAAATTTTGTCATCTATCAACTGAGTTGATATTGAATCAGAGCCATTCGCTCTGACTAAGGGCTAACGCTCTAAACGTCAGCTTTAAAACTCTTTACGGTTGTTAATTTACGTTATCAACTCAGTTCATTACCCTGTTATACTCTCCCACCGACGCAGCACCACAGTTTTTTTTAGAAACTTATCTATTATTACTTATTATTTTGTCAACTATGATGAGCAAAGCGAACATTCTTGGTACCTCGACGGTCTAACAGACCAGATATCAATCGCATTATCACAAGTTTAGTCCATGAGTTGCCTCCTTGATCAGTTGATGACACAAAAAAGAGTGAAAACCATTTCGTTGTAATTTTATTGACAGGCAAAACTAAAGCTACTACTGTTGAGAAAAAAGTGGATATGAAGGATGCTCCTTTAGTAGGTAAGTTAGGAAGCACAGAGAAATCAAAGTCCTTAAAGGACTGAATTAAGTGGAATTTAATATACAAAGGTTATTTTCTGAAATCACCTGTGCGCGTATTTCACCAAGTATGTGGGGTGACTGGGCGGACTGGATTTTGACTAAGGAGTTTTTGAATATTGAGTTACCGAGACGAAGTCAAGGTTTATAAAACGAAAGAAAAAAGAGCTTCAAACGCTATTATATGTTACCCCTGGGTTCAAACCATTTACTGTGTTACGTTCGCTTGGACGAGAGAGCGAAAGACTTACAAACGACTACATCACCTACGCAAGCACTGTCAGACGAATACGACAACAACCTGGTTTAATCACTGCTGTAAAGATCACAGCCTTGTTCCGGCCGGGCTCAAACTTAAGTCCCCGTTGAACACTCAAGAGGTCATCCAGATCGTCAGAGCCACCTGCAGACGACTGGTCAAAGCGCGGCTAAATGATTGCCACAGAAGACTCAAACGCTACAAAAACAAGACACAACAACTTCACGACAAACTGAAACAACTGATACTTACTGAATTACTTGACATTTTCACGACTATTGCCGACAAACGAGACAACAAAGCGACTGAACGTGCCCGTACTGGGCATCAACAGAAACTGACAGGACTTCTACGCAACAAAGAACAGAGACGAAGTAAACCGGACGACAACTGGGTAAGGAACATCTCTTCCCGTCCCTTAGACAGGAATGAAACTCGCATACTGTCATACGGACAGAAACACTCAGTTACACCGAAACGGATACCAACCAAGGCCATTGTACCTAGTGTTGAAGCGGCTTTATCTCGGCAACGAGAGCTATCTGAGTCTACTAAGGGTAACATCAGAAGTAGAATTGCTTCCACTATACAATCAGCGTTACAACATGGCAGCAACTCGACTAAAGACGAACAACATGCCCTTAAACGACGAGGACATAGTTATTCTACCAGCCGACAAAGGACGAGTTACTGTTGTCGTGGACAAGACTGACTATCACGACAAAATGGACGCACTAGTAAAGTAACGACAAACAAACCTACGAACAACTCAAACGTGACCCGACTCCTGCGCTTCAACGCAAATTTAACAGCACATTACTGACACTCAAGAAGACAAACGCCATTGACACCCAACGCTACTATCGACTCAGCTGCTCAGTACCACAGCCACTGAAACTTTACAGTCTGCCGAAACTAAACAAACCTGGCTTCCCAATGCGCCCTATTGTTTCTTTCTGTGGTTCTCCGACATACCAACTGTCCAAGTACCTGACGACAATGCTACAACCGCTCACCGACAAATCCAGACGTAAACTACAATCCACCGAGGACTTCATCAACGCCACTAAGACTGTACAGATACCTGACGACTACAGACTAGTGTCATTTCATGTGAAATCGCTTTTTCCAAGTATTCCACTTCAACTAGCATTACAATGTACTGAGACTGCTATCTTACAATCTACCGACCCTCTACTGCTACCGACAGAGAACATTATGGACTTACTAAACCTTTGCCTGACGTCAACTTACTTTCAATACAACGGTAAACACTACAAACAGTTATACGGTACAGCTATTTGGTCTCCAATTTCTGTTGTTGTAGCAGAAATTGTGATGCAACATCGAGGAAAGCGCCCTTTCGACTTACCGATAAACGATACCGCTTTGGTTACGCTACGTTGACGATACTTTCACCGCCGTACGACACGACGAAATCGACGCATTCCACCACCACCTCAACGAAAAAAACACTGACATACAGAGAGGTCGAAAAAAATGGTAAACTACCTTTTCTAGACTGCCTGGTAAGCCGTGACGACAACTCACTACGAACAACAGTTTACAGGAAACCGACACATATCGACAGATTACTGGACGAGTCATCCTATAGCCCGACATCACACAAAGCCACAACTATCAGGACTCTTACGCGACGAGCGCAACTTAGATGCAACACGACAGACAGCTTATCCGACGAGAACAAGTACCTTGACCGTGTTTTTTCTAAGAACAACTACAACGAAGACTTCATCAAACGTAACACTTACCGACCTACTACTACTACCGAAGCTAACGCCAACACAACTCCTACGACTACAGCAACTATACCGTACGTAAAGGCATATCTGAGAACATCTCGCGCTTCCTACAACCATTCAATATCCACGTCGCTAACAAACTTATTACCACACTACGTCAGTTACTGACTAACGTGAAAGACAAAGACGAACCGAGGAGCAGACAGGGAGCAGTGTATAAGATCAATTGCTCCCACTACCATGCCTCCTACATCGGTGAGACTGGCAGAAACCTCACAACTAGACTAACTGAACACAAACGAGCGACAAGGAAAGACGATGTCAACAATCAGATTGTTGAACATCACCGACTTACGAACCACTCTATTGACTGGGACCCTGCGCAATGCCCAACCTACAGCACCAACTACTTTCAACGACTGACCCTAGAAAACTGGTTTACCAACTTGGAACAAAATCCCCTTAACAAGTGTGAACCACTACCGGCACCATACAAACGACTCATTCACGACATTACCATTACAAATGAACGAACAGAACGACCTGACTTCACTAACGGATCGAGACCGACCAATCACGACCGACCTACGCCACCTGAGTGTTACAGCCAATAACATCACGGCAAAACTGACCAATCAGTGTATACAAGATGATGAGTTCCGCTCAGGTTGTCGAAACGTCAGATACCACTACCGACAACAGTCCTTCTCAGGACTACACTCTCCCGGACGATCAAACTACACTATTAGAGAGAGAAAATCCAAACAACATATCAGTTGCAGTTCATTATATCAAGTTCGCTGATTCCCAACATCGGAGACAAGGAAATAGGAAAGGGGGATAAAAATGACTGACTTAAAACAAGGTAGTAACAATCAATGGTGATGTCACCAATCAAACTGCTGAAAGTCAGCGAATGACGAACCACACTGTTGACTACGAGTCTACCTGTTGTTTTACTATAACAGGACGAACTGTACCTCCAAATATTTTCTGACTGCATAAGAGAAGAATGATTTCCCAGACTCATAATAGCAGTTGTTATTTAAAACATTTGCTTGTGCTTTTTTTTTTTAGTTTTAAAATTTATTTTTGTCTTTGAAATTGAAATGGAGAAAAACCCTCAAATAGACAGGAGGATCAAGACTAGTAAAAGAAAAGTGCTGGATGCTGTAATTTGGATACCAGTTATACTAATTGCTGTTTGGTTTACCTGAAGAGGCGCAAGCTAAGTTAGGAGCAGGAGAAAACCAGGTCTTTGCAGACAAATCATTAGCAAACAAAAGAAAAATGATGAAATGTGTTTAGCGCCGATCTTTATACCACAACTCGCAACTGGAGTCTTTTTTTCTTTTAATGGACAATTATTTATCTATTTTGATAGTCTAACAGGAATGGTTTCAACTAGGCTATCACGAAAATTCCAATTGGCCGTAATTAGTTTTCTTTTGTAATATTTATTATTCTATGACTTTTATTATCCTGTCAAATTTATCAAGAACAATTCTGATAATAGTAATGATGATAATGATAGCACAACTGATGAATAGCAAAAATGATAATTGTGATGATGAGCATTTAAACGATCTGTTTTTTATACTTTTAGACCAGGAGAAAAGTCAATTCCTTTCCTCTGGAAAATCAAAGGATTTAGAGATCGGGAGTTCAACAGGTAAAGCATTATACATTCTGTTTGTTTGAATTCATTGTTATAAGGGCTGATTTATTGAGTGAGTGTTGGTTGCTTTAAATCAATAACCAGCAGCATCTATTTTAATGCTTAACAACAATAAAAAGCAACAATAGGAAAACCTTGGGCCAAAAAGACTACACTCACTGTTCTTGATGTATTGTACTTGTAAACGTATTTGGTGGTTGCTTTCTAAAAATTTATTATCCTTCATTGTTTTCAAACAGTTTCCAAAGCACAACCCAATGTGTTTAATTATTATCTATTTTCTAAGGTTCGTCCGAAGATAGAGTTAAAGCAATCCAAGAAAAACTGGATTTGGATGATAAACTTTCTTCAGGTGAGAGAAATAAAATGAAAAAAGATAGTGGTAATTTAAGTTTGTAACCACTGAGTACAACACGCACAATCAAATCAAACACATCGTCGAACAAACTGAACCCTGAAAGTGTTCCTTGCTCAATTAAATTTGTCTCTCATTCCAAGCAATATTGTCACCAAAGGCAGTGTTTTTAACCATTTCACCAATTAAGGCCCAAAAACTTGACCGACTTATCGGTCCTCACTCATCACCTGAGAGCCTCAAATCTGTCGTCACCATTCCAGAAAATCTTCCACTATCCAACTCAGAGCTAGAAATCCGTGCTCAGTAAGGGCTTCCATTTAGTTTCCATTTTTAAAACCACCGACGAATTTTTAGTTAAGCAAGACGTCGAAAAATTCTTTCGCGCGTTCAATTTCATAAAGCCTTTTCCATGACAAAGAGAGTGATTCTGACAGATTAGAAATCGGTACGGTTGGCCATTGGGATGCAAAAACAGATATTCCATTTCATCATGGGTCACTAAAATGGAAAATTGGTTCAGTTGTGACACGCGCAAAAGACATCTTACATATCTTCGCTATAATTTCAGCGAACAAAACTTCAGATGATAAAGATGTGGACCTAGACAACGACCCCTTAGTAGGTGAGTGAGAAGACTAACGTGTTCCACAAGACGTAAGGTAGGACAATCTGTAGTCATCCACTGTCCCTCTTACACTCGGAACAATTCAACCATAGCTAGTAGAGCGCTTTATTACTGAGTGTCGTAAAACCGAAACTAAATCAGCAAGTCACGAAAAGGAATTACTACAAGGAGCCGATGAGAAATTTAAGTGGAAACAAGGAAACTGCGCATACCTGACGCGCAGGAAAACAAGAGCGACAGAGCCGCAATTCAACTTGTTATATTTTTATGGAGGGTAAGTTTCTAAAGAAACTGTGGTGCTGCATCGGTGGGGGAATATAACAAGATAACATTTGGCTTTATCAACTAAGTTCATAATGTAAATTTTCCATCGTAAAAAAGTTTCAAATACTCATGTGATGGAACGCCATGAACAGCATCGTACAAGAATGGAAAAAGAGGGCATGGTAACGAGTCCTGCAATCTGATTGGTTCTTTACCCGGTCAGTATTTTCCTAACTCTTCCCACGGGTAACGGTAACGCTTTCGTAAGTCGCCGAGTACATCCCTACTTTCGTTGCCATTTTTTATAAATATATCTCGTTTTTGCGGCTGGGCAGTATTTGAAGTAAAGACGTCGGTCACTACCTCAAGCCGATAAATAACTTATTAATCCTCTCTTTTCTCTCTCCCAAATCACTTTGGTTGACAGAAAAATATCGGTTTAAGAATGAATTGTATAAGCAATAGTGTCATTACTTTGGTTGACAAGCGGCCTAAAAACCTCCTGCAATTAATTTTAATCGTTCATAAAAAGCACCCAGAAAGTTAAAACGTGAGGTATTTGGTTACAATTGAATTAATTGAAGGAACTTTCATTAAAATATCTGAATTTTCTCAAACAGTTTGTTCGTAGTGAAAGGGCGAGCGAAGTTTTAATTTCAGTTGTACAACAAATATACACTCTCGGTGAGTCTTTCCAAGTCCGTTCAATTCGACATTTGTACCGTAAATTGCACAACAGAAACTGAAGGAATTCAATGAGAAAAGGCTGCATTAAATCCCCTCGTGTCTCGTTGGAGTGTATCATTCGAATTTAGTTTTTATGGAGGAAAGACCAGATTCACACACACCATTGCAGTAAACAAACGAGCAAACTCTCACAACTTCATATTAAAAAAATTGGAATTTACGTACAATTACTTCCCCGCCGTTTACCTAATGAACAGAGGTAAATCTTCGTACATGAATTAATTGTCGATGAGAGTGAATAATACTTTCCGGAAGATCATAGAGAAAATATCGGGAC